TCAGTCATTCCTCTTGTAACTTAATCTTCAACCTCCCCAGTGTTTTAGGATCACAGTTTATTTCTTCCAGAAATAAATGCATCATCAAAAGCGGACTGCCATAGTTGTACAGTATCTCCTCTGTAGGCTCTCATCTAGTATTAATGAAGCCCAGGAATCTGAATTTTCTTTAGTATCATCACTGTGGTCTCATACTATGAGCCTTTTCAACCAAAATAAAACATTAACATCTGTAAAGGTGTTAGATATTTTTAAATAAGAATTCATGTTAATCCCTGCCTCCCTGTTCTCTATGTAATGCCTATGTGTAATGCCTAATTATAAAAGTTTTGTTATTGATTACATGAACTTTTATTTATTGTTAACTCTTTTCTGCTTAATTGATCTCTCATAATAGCCTATTATTTGATTCTTTTATTTGATGTACTGGCTATCTCCATAGTCTTTGGACTGAAGTTTATTAACATATGTTCTCTTTCTTGAAGTCACCAAATTTTAGAATTTTTAACTTTAGAGGAACCTAAAATATCCTAACATTTAGCCCCCTTGTTTTAGGGAGAAGAAAACTTAGGTCCTGCAGAGTAAAATAACTCCCAGATGTACACAGTTTATGATAGAGATGATGAGCTAAAAATAAGTGAGCCACTCTATGAACCAAGTTTAAGACACATAACATCACCAGAAGCCTTAGTGGGCAACTGACATTGAACAGTACACGTGGAGTACGGGTGTTTAACTGTAACTGAACGTACATTATCCTCAATCATATTGACAAGTACTGACATTCCTTGATGAAATCCAATGGTCCTTAAACACTATGAGACAGGAGGCAAAGTTGTCTTGGAATGACTTAACTTTAGGGAACTATATTGGCTACTTGTAATATCTATATCTATTTCCAAATAATTAGTAAAAATATGTGTATAACCATTTTGTTTTCTAATATGTAGTTTTTATAATTCTTGTAAAAATCTTACATTTTTCCACTTGTTTTCCTGCTATTTCTATTTTTATTCAATAAAGCAAAGTGACTTATATACTTAAATATGAACAAACGTAACTATCTCAAATTTAAAATGAAACTTTAATAACAATTGTGTCACTTTTTTAAACAAGACTGTTTAAAAAAGTGAAAAAAACCTTTGATACTAATGTACAATCAGATATAAGTGTGTAGCTTTAAATGTTTTTATTAGGAAAGAGAGAGAATGAAGAAAAAGTAAATGAATGAGCAAATGAACCAAGCATACAGCCTTGGAGAACGCAGGAAAGAAATAACAAGTATAAATTAGAATATAGAGAAAAATAATTTAAAATAAATTAAAAACTGATTCTTTGACAAAAATGTAGACAGGTATCTAAATATATTACAGGAAGTGGAATAAATACAGGATGTGTATAACATCATATCTGAAAAATCTGCAGGTAGAAAGGAGATAAACCAGAATGATGTCAAGATTTGTCTACCAGAGGAGGAAAGGTTGTACAGAATTTTTATAGAGGTGTGGTGTTTTTTTTTAATCTTTCAGAAAGGCTTTAGAAGTTGACTAACAATAGGGCATGGCTCTGGCACTTAAGCTGCTGTACACCTTAGAGCTCTTTCAATGGAGTGGGGGTCAGCAAGCCTGCTGCAAGAGAACAGCAGGGTAGTAAGAAGCTAGAAAGAGTTGTCCATTTTCAGAGCTTCAGAAACTGAGCAAAAGGAGCCCAACAATAAAGTCAGGGTTAGGTTATAGTACAGGCAATTTGAAGAGATCATTATATCTTCAGAAAATGCCCGTACTATTACTGATGTAGCACTGTAACTGAGGTGATACCCAAAAGTAAGTTTTGGGCACATTTTTAAAACAATCTCTTCTATGCAGTACTAATTTTAATAATAGTTAATAGCCAATAGGACTAAAAGACTTTGATTACACACAACCAATTACTCATTAGCTTTTGTACTGTGTCCTGTTAACTCCAAACTCACCTTGTTGTTTAATACTAAACCTTTTACTTTATCTTTAGCCCACATCCTCCTGTTCCCCAGATCTCTGAAAACTACGTTAAGTTTCACATGTGTAAAAGTACACATCACAGCCATTAATATTTATTCTTTGTGTAAAGAATTCTGCTGCTAATATTTCAGACCTAACTTAAATAACTTTGGCATAAAAACTGTCATGCCTCAAACAAACTGTAGACAGCATGCTTTCTATACAGTTCACATGATTTACAATTGTTTGCATCATAAAAATGTAGTCATCTTCAATTGTTGTTTTGAAAAGAAAATATGCTTCTGAAAAATATGCTGGGTAGTAGAAGAGGGGGGAAGTGGTTAAAAAAAAGTTCAAAAAAGGAACCAGTGCTCATCTCCTTTTAAGAGCTATTCAGATGAAAAATTACTCAGCATGAGCTTGAGCTATATGTTTTTCATGGTTATTAGTACTAATGAAGATGCATTAGCTATATTCTCTTGATAATGCACTAGCTGTTTCTTAGTACTTTTATCAACATATAAATTTTACAGCTGGCAGTATGGGAATTTGACTAGTACATTCTTGTTTATAAAAAAGGGTAACAGCGTTATAACTTCTTCATATTTGTGAATTATGAGTTTTGACTTGCAAACAAGTAAAACAATAATGCAACAGAACTTCAGTATCATGATAGCTCATCTTTCCACTATTACAAGAAATGCATGCCCATTGCTGAGTAGAAGATCATACCAGAGGTGAATGCTTAGTTCATCCAGAATTTATTAATTCTTTGTATTTCATTCTATTTTTTTCAGTAAACATGTATTGAGAGCTTTTTCTGTTGCCAACTTGTAGTGTTTATAAAAGCAGCTAAGAAGGTGAATGGTATATAAGCATTCTATTTCTTATTTCTACTAAGAAACATTATTGTTAATAATTTTGAAAGGACATTAAATAGCTTAGGTCATTAAAGATAAAACACTACAAAAGGAACCTTTTGAAACTTTTTTCACACTCCATTGAGTTATAAATAAATAGATTTTTCTTTTGTAAAGACAAGTTCTAGATTAAAACTTGAATTGACCTGTCTTCAAAGCAGTGTAAGCTTTCATGCCTTGGCCATAGCATTAGGGAGTGCCATTAGAGAAAACTTCATGGAAGGAAGAAGCAGTGTTCTTTTGTTTTTATTATGGAACTATGGATCAGTTCTGTTTGAGAGACTGATACCTAGTCATACCAAGGGTATAGCTCTCATGTAAAAAGGAGAATTACTGTATAAGTGCTGCCACAGAGATCTGAGGGAAGAAAATGATAGTAAAATTTAAATTGACTAAAGTAAAATAGAATCTTACATACTTTGATGAAAAGAGCAAATTTCTATTAATGATTTAGGCAGTAAAAATATAAAGTGTGGTACTATCATGGAATTACACTATCTCCTACAACTAAAATAATTTGTAATTATAATTGGTCTTCAAGATAATAACCCTTGAATATACTGCATGATTATGAAGGAAGTAATCATTCATTTAGCATATTTACTTTGTGCCCTTTGTGCCAGATGGATTTATAGCACAGGTACTGGCAAAAGATACAAAAAAACAAGAAAAAAAGTGGAGTGGTGGGTGAGTTGATAGCCACTGAGTAACAGAGTCAAACGCAAATAGATCTTTGGGTCTGCAATGCAGAAATCACTAGTGACTTTGACTAGTTTTATGACAGTGGCCACAGCCAGAGCTTAGTGGACCAAAGGGAGCAAAAGTAACATGGGAAGATACTTTGACAAACATGAGTAAGCAAAGAATGGGGTGGGAACTGCATAGGAATGAGGGACCGAAGGAGAAAAAGATACACTTCCATACATAGTCACCATAGTTGTATACCAATGGTAATGGTACAGAGGAGAGGAAGAAAGTGATGATGCAGGAGAGAAGGCTGAAGAAGCAGCAATCTCACAAGATGGGAGAGGAGATGGGATTTAGAGCACAAATGGAGAGATTAGTCATAGCTAGGAGCAGGGACTTCTGTAACAGGGAGAAAGACTTAAAGTACAGGTAGATGCAACTACTATTTAATAAATATTTTAAAGTAGCTATGATGTGCAATGCAATGGCAGTGTAAAAGTATTAACAGAAGAGACAAAAATCCTTCCTCTCATGAAACATATATTTAAATGGAGATTGTAGGAGGTGAACAAATGATAACGAAATAAGTAACAAAACTATAGTATGTCAGGCAGTGAAAAGTGCTATCAAGAAAAATAAACAGAACTGGAGCAGGAGGACAAGGAGTACTGGGGTAGGGGCCTGGGGTGGCTTGCAGTTTTAATGCACTAGGCAGTTGAGATAACTTCTAGAAGTTTACTTCATGGTTCTCAGAAACATTTATTTTCAAAATAAGATTAAATCTGGTCTACTAGGTTTATGGAAATTCTACTGTCACCTTTATTTCACAGGTGTCCCCTTCTCTGAACACCCCAGGATTTTCCAAGCCCCATCCCTCTTCTTTATATTCACATCAGAGATTTTAAACATATACTTACTTAGGGGCTGGGGATTTAGCTCAGCGGCAAAGCGCCTGCCTGGCAAGCGCAAGGTCGTGAGTTCGATTCCCGGTACCGGAGAAAAACCAAAAAAAAAAAAAAACAAAAAAACAAAAAAAAACCATATACTTACTTATGTGACTTTTGATGAGTACATTTTTTCTCTATTTCACTACAAGCTCTAAGAAAGAAACTGTGCCTGTTTGGGGCAAGTGTATCCTCCAGACAGAATTCTGTACTGACCCCTGGTGTGCCCTACTTGTTAAAAGAATAATGAATGAATATAAAGGAGTAAGATTGTTTTCATAGGCTCTGTTTTTAAGAATCTTATTTTATTATTCTGTGGTCACTTTAAGTTTTCACTTCTTTATTTAGCTGAGCTACTAAACTGTCTTTTACAAAGCAAGACAAGGTATGTTCATATACCAGTGGAGTACGTGAATAGTTGGTCTTCTAATTTAAATAATGTTTGTCCATTTAACTTTTGTTTTTAACAGGACTAACCCCAAAGGCACTCCTCTGAATATAAATAAGGTCTCTAATAGCCTGATTAATTTTGGAAGAAAGTTGATTTCCCCAGCAATGGCCCCAGGCAGTATGAGTGGCCCTTTACCTGGGGGCAACAGCAGCTCTTCTTCTGCTGTGATTCCCACCAAGACCTCCACAGAAGGCCCAAGGCATCATCATCTGCAGCAGCAGCAGCAGCAGCAGCAGCAGCAGCAGCAGCAGCAACAGCAGCAGCAACAGCAGCAGCAGAGGCTGATGAAATCTGAAAGCATGCCAGTGCAATTGAACAAAGGTAGGAAAAAAATACTAATAAATCCAAAGAACACACAGTATGGCCTGGGATTTCCTCAGCTACCTATGAGAAACCAGCTTCCCCAAAATAGAATTAGTGCAAAATTTAATTTTTAAAAATCTATTGTATTGGATCCTTTTTAAACATGGAATATCAGATACTGTATTCTTCTTAAAAATATTTTATGAGGTTCTTTGTGAAGCCAGTTTTTAAAACATTTATATTCTACTTGCATTTTTGTCCAGTAGTGGCTCATATGTATGATTACAGAACTTGAGGTCAGTTGCTTATGTTTTCTGGTAACTTTGTATAATAATGCTCCCAAGAGAATAATGTTGTCTTTCAGAAGTCTGAATTGAGAAGGTATAATATCATGGGCTTTTTTCATCATAGTATTTATCAGTGCATTGCAGTGGTTTGGAGAAAGCATGCTACTAGACTTGTGGTCTATCATCCAGCTGCTTTTCCTCTAAGGAATATATACTAGAATATCAAAGAGGAAAAAAAAATAAGAAAAAATAAGTATTTGAGTCCATACACTGGAAGTTAGCACCATAGAATTTAAGAGCAGAGGAAACCTGGTAGCTACTCACATCTGATACTTGGTCAGTAAAGGCACAGCTGCTGGGACTGCTTCTGGTAGCACTTCTGCTGCTGGCAGTCAGGTTAAGTTCTTTGCTGTGTTAGAGCCTTACCAGTGTTTCGCCTCCTTCAGGCACTTACTCATAAGACAGCTCTGCAGGCTTTTACTTCGAACATTTATACCATACTCTTATTTTGAAAGAAGCCTGATGTATTAAGTCTCTCTATTCCTAGCAGACTACAAACAGCGGCATTTATATTTAGCGATGGAACTCTGCTCAGTATACTACAAAAGCAAGCAAGAGACAGTAACATGATGGAAGAAAATATACAAAGAGCAATGCTAAGACTTCAGAAAGCAAAGACGTCTGGGACCATTTAGTGGTCCCAGAGCAAATACCCTGATGCAAGCCTCTTTTATGGCATAAAGAATCCCTGTGTTACATCAGCATTCAGAACTTATTACTGACAATAATAATATTATCAGCAAGAAGACTTTAAAGTTCCATGTACTCTGTTTAAGAAGGTTACATCCGAAATTATTAAATAATTTACATATTTGCATTTAAATTTGTAAACAAATACTTTATTCTCCAATGACAGAAATTAACAAATATTCAATAATGAGAATGTGTTTGCACACACCTGCACTGCATGTGTGTCTGTATTCCTCTACTGCTTACATGTCATCTGTCTTTTCTATATTTCTTTGTCTATATGAAATATCAGACTTTCTATAATTAGTATTTAAACTTTTATCTGAATATTCAGCTTACCATACATGAGAATATCTCCTTCAGAAATTTTTTTTCATGATTTAAAGAAAAAGAGATTTCAGTTTATTAACATATTGTAAATGTACTTTAATGCCAGGAGACATGCCCACTTCCAAAGTGGAAATGAATGTTATTTTATATATTTCTTAATTACACTGTTTTATTATTCCAAACAAATATGATTTCAATATTGCTTGGATAACAAGCTTTAGTCAGTCATAATTTAACTGATGGCAGGCAAATGAGTCAGAATCTCTTAATGCTGTAGCTTAAATTTTCTGAGGAACAAAGCCAAATGACTATAGAAATATAAAGTTGTGTCTCTATGGAAATGTCAAATATTAATATCACAGTAAGTGAGAAAGGAAGAATATGGAGATGAACAATTGATGAAAACTAAGTCCTCAGTTAAAAAGAGTCAACAGAGCACTTAAGCAAAGTATTTGGAACACAAGTATCACTGGGGCATTTTGTAAGTGATCCCTGTCCTGAAAGAAATTAGTCTTGTTTTGCAACTCATATATTTTTATTTCTGGCACACTCTTCTTGTGTCAGTTTACCAAAAGAGCTGCTCTACCTTTCTTTATAATGAAGATAAATTATGCCTGCTAATGCTCCTCGCCACATAATGGCTTGAAGAAATAAAGGGCAAACAGTTTACAGAGGTAGAAGAGTGTGTTTGATGCTCTTCGTCCCTTCACCCACTGATGAGCCCTGAGCAACAGTAGAAACTGTCTGCCCCCACTTCCTCACCAGAAAATGAGGTGCTTGGACTGATTCCAATGGAGCCTCCCGGCTCAAAAAAAATCTTTGGTTCTTCTTGTGAAATATATATAATGAACTCTAAAATGAAAAACATTTCTCCAGTATTGGTTCTTTGTGCTGGTATTTCCCAGAAGTACTCTGTTGTGCTGATTCACTGTCAAATCAGCAAGCATGTCACCTGAGAGCATTGAACACAACAGCCTGACAGGTTGTGTCGGCCTATGATTGCTAACAGCCTAGTCATCTACTTAGGGCCTTTGTGGAGAGGCTATATATTAGCCTTTTCAGTGTACTCTCTTTGAAAATTTGAAAGTTGTTTTGAGAAATGATTGTTTGTGAAGAGGAAAATATATAATATTTGTTCTTATAAAGAGGAGAGTTCTGTTTGTAACCCAGATTCATGTGTGTATTGGTTGAAGTGCACTGTGTAGCTTACGTGTGTGTTGGTGTTGGCATAATGAAGAAAACAAGCAACACAGATGTTCTCCATAATTTTTTGGTGAAATTTACATTAAAATGAGTTTTAGTCTCTACATGTATGCTAGTAAATAACCTAGAATCAAAAAGCAGTATCTACATATATGTTAGTAGATGACCAAGAGTAAAATGGATAGCAGGTATAGAACTTCCTGAAAGTATACAGAAAGACCCACTATTTATCAGTGAATTTAGAGTTAACATTCAGGACCTGACCCTTTCTGTGGGAGGCTGTTTATCAGTTGTTTGGAATGTTACTGTTTATAAATTTTCTTTCCATTGTAGGAGAATGCAGGCATATGTTCTGTTAATCAATGGGGGTGATATAATTACAACCTAATAATGTCCATATGAGTTGGTGATGCTTAAATCATAATTGTAGCAAATGGTCAGGACACTGAAGGCACATTATTTAATTCAAAATTTGATCTTTTTACTACTGTATATATTATATAAAAGCTAAAGGAGAAGTAATTCTGTTAATTTTATCTTCCATGGAAAATATGGTGCCTTTGTAAAAGGTTTGTTAATCTCAAAATAGGGTAGGCCTTTAGATACTCTAGCCAGAGGTTATTCTGTTGACAGTGACTATGCTCATTGTGGAACTTTGTCATTCAGGAAGGAAATCAGAGAACCTTGTTAAAACACCTGGAATTCCTCATGGACTTCCTGCTGTGCTCCTTTTCTTGTCTTTCCTGAGTTCTTAAAATGCTTTTTTATTTCTGTTTACTTTGTCTCATTTTTAATTTTTTTTTTTATTTTACACTACCTTAAGCATTTACTACAGGTTCCATTTTTTTTTTTTTTTTTTTTTTTTTTGGTTTTTCTCTGGTACTGGGAACCGAACTCACGACCTTGCGCTTGCCAGGCAGGCGCTTTGCCGCTGAGCTAAATCCCCAGCCCCTACAGGTTCCATTTATAAATGAAATCGCAACTATAGTATCTAGTTAAGGGGATGTAGTTCACAGCTTTTTTTCATATATTAACATCTGTAAGTACATGTGGTAACTTTTGAAATGTTTTCATAATGTACTATGAAACTAGAACTTCTTTAGGCCCTACCACTGAAAAAGTTGCTACCAAATTTTGTTAAAAATCAGTATGTCTAATATAACAAATTAATTTCAGAAGTGCCTGTTAGTAAAGAATATATAACTTATTTTGGGGTTTAAAAATTTTTTTAAAAAGAAAGTATATAAAATCACACCAATATTTGTAGCACCATGAAATCTGCTCAGCAAAATCTTTTGGCTGCTAAAGTTTTCTGTACTCTAGTCTAGTAGAAACTTGTTTGCTTTTTCTGTAGGAAAAACAAACAGAATTCTTAGGAAATACTCTTTGAAACATTGTTTCCTTTTAAAATATTTATATTTTTCTAATCTTATGTTACATTTTCTTTGTACTATATTTTTAGTAATTTGGTAAAAGTATTACATTCAGTATGAAATAGAAGTAAAGTTGGTTGTTTCCTTCTTATAAAATCTCGTTATTTTTTCTTATGAAATCCAGGAGATGTAGTTACAGGAAGCGGTGCTCAGGTCTCTGTTCCTGCCCAGACTCTAACTGACCTCCAAGGTACAGTTACCATAGCAACATAGCCTGCCTACCCCCCCAGTCTCTCGCATAGTCTCTCTGTCTCTTTGTCTCTATCTGTTCCTCTGTCTCTCTCTCTCCTGCTCCTTCCTTCCCTCCCTCCAGAATCCGCTATAATGTTACCGTTGCCTGGTCTGCTTTTCCCGTTGCCCACACTCCATTCAGTGTTTATCAGCCCACTACCATTGTTCAGCCACTGAGTGGCACTGTTGTGCCTTGGTGATAAGGGTTTTCTATGTAGTGTGCGCAAGCCTCTTTTCTTACGAAATGTGATTCACCATAAATTTTGTAGTTATTTTAACATTATCCTTTGTAAGGTAGCTGACACCAAGGTGTTCTTATTATTGCAAAGGTTCTCTGTAACAGCATTTGACAAATTCTGAGGTTAAACAATTTATATGCTGTGATTTGTCTGATGTACTGATATTTTACCAAAAAGAATTACAACTTGATTCACATTTTAAAGTACATTAACATTTACATTAACACAATTAAAATATTATTTGGCAAGTCTCTATGTCAGAAATTTGCTATGTTTTAAAAGTAAAGAAATATTTCATATATGCATTTTCCCAAAATGTGGAAAAAATAGTTTAAGAGATACAAAAAAGTGGTACTACATTTTCAGCACTTCCTGTGGAATTTTTAAAATACAAATATTTTAATTTGCTGCATTAATCTTTCAACCTGCAATCTTTTAGATGAAATATGGCAGAGAGGATTCCTTGCTAAATGGAACCCTTCAGTAACTTAAAGAATCTTCCATTCAAATTCAAACTAAAATGATAACACAGTCTGTTAACTAAATTCATACCATGTTTTCCTGACTTTAAAATATCCACATGCTATAGCCATGCCAGTTGTATTAAAATATGGTTCTGATGATGGTATGTCTTCAAATATTAATGCTTTTCAAAGTAAGGTAACAGAAAAGAATGGGTTATGATTAACAGATAATTGATGGCAGTAGAACAGTGTGTTCTCGCTTTTATGTTTAATTCTATGATTCACAGGTAGTGAATATTCTGGTAATTGAACTGGCTGTATTCTGGTAGTTGAACCAAATGAACTTTAAGGGCTTCCCAGCTCAGGAATTCCATGAAGAACTGTCCACTCTGTATAGTATAGGGTTGAAGTAGCATGAACAATAGGAAAGATAGGTTATCTCCGTATGATTTCGCTTTAGCTTTGTCAATTTACGTGGATCATACAATGTGAAGAAAATTCACAGGAGTTAAATTTGTTCCCTGAAATTAAATTACAAGCCCCATAGACAACTTTTTAACAAGTGTGTTGTTATCCCAACTTCTGCTTCTTTGCAAGACAGGGACTATGGAGCTAATGTGTACCTATAGGAAAAGAAAGCCGAGGGCTGGTTTGCTCATTCTGACTTCCGTGCTGTTGCTCAGTCCACTTCTTTTCCACAGACAAGAGCCATTTGAAAAATGTTACTTGAACTTTGAAGAAGGAGGTTATATCATTTCATTCAGATAATTTGTGTTATATAAGTAGAATTATCTCATACATTCATTCAGCAACTATTTATTGAGTGCTAAATGACAGTGAGAAAATACCTACCCTGATTTGTCACCTTCGTGTTTTCCTCAGCATTTCCTGAAGAGTGCAGAAAGCAAGTAGAAGTAAATCAAAATATTGGCAACAAAAAATTTTCTATCTCTGTGCTGAATAGGATCCATAATGTTAAAGGTTGGAGAATTTCATCAGGCATGCCAAACCAATTACTATTATTTAGACTTGTCCAAGTGCCCTTTTTCAAATTAATAAAATAAATAATAATAATTTCAGTAATTCTTTGATTTTTTTTGATACTGGGAATCAAACTCCTGACCTCAGGCTTGCCAGGCATGTGCTTATGCCACAGAGCTATATCCCCAGCCCTCTTTGTTTATTTTTATTCCAGTGCTAGGACCTCACACACCCTGGGCAAGTGCTTCACCACTGAGCTACACCCCAGCACAGTTCTTTGATCATGTATAATTTTTTTTGTTTGTTTGTTTTTTCTCCTTTACTGGGAACCGAACTCATGACCTTGCACTTGCCAGGCAGGCGCTTTGCCGCTGTGCTAAATCCCCAGCCCCTCTGTATAATTTTTGTTAATGAGCTTTTATACCTGTATCTTTGTTTAACCTACTGTAGTTATGTGGATTTTAATTTTTTCAAGAAAAGAAAAAAACTGAATGTAAAGTGTAATTTCACAATTTAGATCAATAAGTAATTTTTAGAAAAGTATCAAAAAGTCCTATTTTATGTCTGTAGAGTAGGTTACAGTTACCTAAAAAGTGCTACAGAGTTTGAATTTTGAAGATTTAACTTCATGGGTTTCTTTAAAATTAGTTTGTGCCAGGTGTGGTGCTTCACACATGTAATCCTAGCATTTGGGAGGTTGAGGCAGGAGGATTGCCCCAAGTTTGAGGCCAGCCTCCGCTATATAGTGAGTTCAAGGCCCACCTGAACTACACAGTGAGATCCTATCTCAAAAAAGAAAAAAAAATTAGTTTTTGTTTCTTAAGTACTTACTATAAACATCTTTAAAATGTATGGTTTTTCATATGTTACCTTGTGGGTATGAATACACATGTACACACACATAAAAATATCATTATAACAGTTGTCAGGTTTTTCTTAATATATAAAACAGGAAAGTCACTCTCCCTGCCCAGTTAACTACTGTTGACATTGTGAAAGTGTAGCTAAAACGTATAACATTTAACAATCTGAATTTAATTAAAAATACTAAATGAAAAAGGGAGAAAGCCCTCCATTTTCTCCTTCCACTTTTTCTGCCATCTCATTTCCACAAGGACAACCATGATTAAGTTTCTTATAATTCCTTTTAGAAAAAAAATACATTTTACATTGAGAATAACATGAGAGATAACAACAATTTAGTAAGAGCTTACTTATCTGGATATGACTTCCTCTCCAGACCTTTAAGAAGAAAGTGTAACAAAATATACCATTGCAGATGACAAGCAGAAAATTGGTAGGCCAAGGAAATGGAGGTCAAATCGATTAACAGGACACAATGAAGACAATTTTTAAAAAGATACTGGATATGATCAAAATATGTGATGCATTTTTAAAAAACTATGGCAGTGAAAGACACATCACCATTAAACTGCCCCAAAATACTCCCTGTCATTTTGAGCACACTTATCCCCATCATTCTTGCCACTTTCTGAAAGCAATTCTGGATGTCCTCTTTCACGAGTGCCTTTATGAAATGCAATCAAATGTAGCAGATCCTTGTTCCCAGTGCCATCCACAGAAAAGGCAGATTCATAAAAATATTACTGTGTGACCTTATCTGCCTTTTTCACCAGATCTAACACCATGGGACTTCTGTCTGTTCCTCAAAGTCAAAATGACCATAAAAGATGAATGTTCTTAATTAATGCAAGACATAGAAACAGCCAGGGCACTACAACTAAAAACAAGGAAGAGATGTTCCATAACTGCTTCAGAAAGTGGCAAAATTGATGGGATAGGTGTATTCAAAGCAAGGAGGAGTGGAGGGGTCACAATCTATCTTTTACTGTGTAATTTTTTAAATTTAACATTCACCTTATTTTTGGATCACACTTCATAGCTCCTACTCACACGAGTAAGGAAAGAGTCTTCAAAACCAGATACTCCTATGGATGACCCTGTTTTACCCACTCAGGTTGTTGTTAAGAAGTGGTGGTCCAGAAGCAGAACAAATAGTTACCTTATGTTCATTATAATGTCTCTAAGGCAAAGGAATGTGTTATGTATATAGAATGAATTTTGTGACGCGTGAATTAGCTAGAAAATAAATTGTAGCTATTTTTACATCTCTATCTTTTCCTATTTTGATAGCTTAAAAACATGTTTCCACGCAAGTACTCAATCTAACTGTGCTTGACTTCTGTAACCAGGCTAAAGGAAGTATATTCTGGAGTCTTTAAGTACAACCTGCTTCCAGTCACTCTGTGACACCAGCATATATGTCTTTAAGGAATAGACATCATCGTTCTTACTCTCTGTCACCCCAGTAGATAAAGCAACAGATGGTTACTTACTAAGGCACAGATGCTCCTATTGTCCCTGGCCACTGTAAGAAATCAAGTGAAGTTGTACTGCTATGGCCACAGCATTGGGATTTGCAGGCTTTTCCTTTCTGTTCCTCTGGGTTGTGGCTCCCCACTAAGGCCCCTTAGCCTTCCTAGCCTCTTGAATATTTTGCTTTTGGGAGGTCCAGTGTTCAAATCTCTCCAGAGGTTTCAGGTGTACTGGCATTCTACCTGTGTGCTTAGGAATACACTGTTCAGACTTCTCATTGAGTTTTTATGAGAAAAAAGCCCTAAATAATTATTCATGGGACATTTGAAGAAATTAATGTATATTATTTCCCCTTCCTTCTTCCTTCAATCTCAGCCATTTGCAGTCAGGACTCTTCACTGATGGCCAAGAGACACATTCAATCAGCTCAGTCTCTTTACAAAAACCCCCACTGACAAGGAGCACATCTGACTCAAGAGAATAAAGGAAGAATACATTATAGTTATATGTAGCTGTGTCCGATCCAAATAGTACGTTTGTGCGAGTTAGATGGAAAACACCTGTGCTGTACAGACACAGCCCACACCAGGGCACGTGAGTTAGTAAGCAGAATATAGCCTGGATTTCAGGGTTTATGTCCGATAGGTACGTGAAGTATATATGGTAGTTTTATGCCTGGAGCTGGTTACCCGAAGTCTGTGGGAGATCATGGCCAAGTGCAGCCATTCAGATCAGGAAAGGTCCCACCAAGAGTCAGAGAAGAATCCTACCAGGAGAGGACCTGTAAGTCTCTAAGCCAAAAAATAGCATATTAAACTGCCTGCTCCAAATCTGGAAGCTGTGCCTTCCACTCGAAATGTTTTGTGTCTCCTAACATACACTAGACCCCTTACGTTATTTGCTCGGAACACAGAGACTTGTAGGTGAGAACTGAAGCA